GTAGGCAATATGTGATGTAGGCAACATGTGATGTAGGCAACATGTGACGTAGGCAACACGTGATGTAGGCAATATGTGATGTAGGCAACATGTGATGTAGGCAACATGTGACGTAGGCAACACGTGATGTAGGCAATATGTGATGTAGGCAACATGTGATGTAGGCAACATGTGACGTAGGCAACACGTGATGTAGGCAATATGTGATGTAGGCAACATGTGATGTAGGCAACATGTGACGTAGGCAACACGTGATGTAGGCAATATGTGATGTAGGCAACATGTGATGAAGGCAACACGTCACGTATATAGCAGGTAGCATAGGCAGCATGTGACGAGCACAACATGTGGCGTCACCAGGTCCTGTTAACGAACTCAGGCAAGACGAGTCATGGGAAAGATGTGCAACCAATGACATAGACAACACGTGATGTAGGCAACGCTGTTCAACACATGACATAGACCATATATAACATAAACACTAAGTAATGTTGGTAGCAAACCACCTCAGACCTGCATTCAACACACGGCATAGGCACAGTTCCACTAGGAAATTACTCGATTGTTACAAACCAGGATCATTCAGCAACACCTACAATGAAAAGGACGACATAGCAAATAAAAACTTAATACCTTGCCCTCTGCAGAGAGGTGGGATCCATAGATTGATAGCACCTGGTGGCGTAACGATTCACCAAGTGCAGATGCTACAATGAAATCAAATAGATATATGTTTAGAGGAATGGATTCTGGACAATATGGAATCGACCAGTATGCTTTTAAAAGTCACTTCAGTCAGTATTAAATAATTAAATAAGGTACCTGTATCTGTGGTTGGTATCTATACTGCATCATGTAAACAAGTCACAATTATAAGCATCAAAGGTTCAGGATGACTGATATATAATTCAAAATCATCTCAGATTTTGTTTGAATTAATCATAGTTTTTGTTTAATAAATGGCAGTCACGTATAGCATTAATTATTCCTGGGATGATGATAGTGAGCCATGTTATATGAGCTGCTGTTGATATGTTGACATGTAATTGGCAGTAATAATGTAATCAATGTTTTATGATTAAGAAGTAGGTATCTGAACATGCCAAACATGATTTATGTGGTAGTTAACTATAAACATGGAAACTAGACGATTGGCAGCCCGGATCCGCGCGAAGCGCGAACAACGCCGCCTAGCGGCAACACTAAATCAAATTCGCTGCACTGTTTCGAACACCTTCCTCAGTTCCCTTTGGGTATAGCAGAAAGCCCTATAATCGCTCAATTGAGCAGTTGTGGCGATTCCACAACCCTTTTCACTACGCACGTAGGTAGAGATTTTATACAAATGGTGGTAATTGTTGGTTTGCTGCTCGGCGCGCGTCATTTTTCTGTAGAAAACGAATTTACCATTTTTGCTGTTTCATGCCCTGACATTATTTTACAACTTATGGCGTCCCATAGATGGCGCAACGAGTCCATGTACATAGCATTTTCAAGTCGTTTCTCTACGCAACGCTCGGCTCACTCAGCTAGACTGCTGCCTGGTGGACAGTTACACACGCTAGCGTAACTCACTTGAGTGTATAGCCAACGATAGTTGGCTGAGTGAAGGTCGGTACCAGTCTAGCCCTGCAATCTTCACTGCCGCTTCAACTTCCCGTATCCATCTTGAAGAGACCAATGTGATGTTCTCATGTTTCCGATTATGTTCGTTTCAAAGTAATATAATTATGTGGGTGCAGATGTCATGTTAGCCATTGTAGTCACGTGAGCAAAAAGTCAAAAGCAACAGCACATTTGAAGTTTGGAGGATTTTTATAATATGATAACTATTACATTTCTATAAGTATTATAGCTCATAATAAGCAGGAGATATCAAATAATTATGTTACAATCTATTCTTAGCATTTTCAGTTGACAACTTATTTCTATATTCACTATCTCTCCCCTGCGACTAGCCACAAGTTCCCATCTCGCTTAACACTACGTGGCGAGAGGCCGTGTAACTAGTCGGAGAGCCTGGTCGGTTTACCCTGCGACCTACTATTTGCGTACGACTTTGCCTGCTCGGCCGGCAGCTCTGCCGGCTATAACATAGAGTCAGACTCACAGGCACTTGGACCGTTTCAATAATAAAATGATGGTTAATAAATACAACTTGTCAGTACTACTACTAGCCCTACCAGTACCAGTACCACTACCAGTAATAGTCTTAATGTTTGATTTGACCTAATAGTAATAACTTCACTTCAACACCGTCCAATACACCGCTGCAACACATAGCGCGCACGCCCTTGTGCATGCACAAATACACAGTGATAATAAGTCCCTATTATCCTATAAGTCCTTATTATCACTGTGTATTTGTGCATGCACAAGGGCGTGCGTACTATGTGTTGCAGCGGTGTATTGGACGGTGTTGAAGTGAAGTTATTAGGTCAAATCAAACATTAAGACTATTACTGGTAGTGGTACTGGTACTGGTAGGGCTAGTAGTAGTACTGACAAGTTGTATTTATTAACCATCATTTTATTATTGAAACGGTCCAAGTGCCTGTGGTCAGACTCCTACCTGCTCGACAGTTCGGTACAAGGATAGAGAGCATGGCGACACACTGTTTACTCGACTACACAAGAAATTGTGTTTACACAGGTCTTCACTCAGGGTCATACAATTCTATGCACACCTACGAATACTTCTATTACTACAAGTACATGTTCAACATTTCTATTTACATGAATAGAGGCGTATTATTTCCGCATGTATTATTTATAAAACCCAGC